CATTTTTTTGAAAAATGCTTCTTCTTTTTAATGCAGTTATCGGCATCAAAATCAGACAGAGCTAAGTGGGGTTTCCAGAAGCTGTTAAGAGCGCACTACACATATTTTTTTTGTTGCGCAACTTCCCCAATTCTAAGGCTATTTTAAGTACGATGAGTGAGCTTTTTCAAGGAATTCAGCAAGTTTATGTTTGAAAGAAAAGACTCTAGGTTGTGAGGGCTAAATGGGCTTCACTGTTTTCGCTCATAAATCAGCTACTTTTCAAACAATCGTCAACTGCAGACCGTGGTTTTCCTCCATGTTCTCTAACGTAGTTTTCTGAACAAAAATCAGACTGATCTTAGTGGATGTTTCAGAAGATGTTTAGAGCGCCCTACATGATTTCAGTGTGTTGTTATGGCTAAATAAGCTCCAATTGTTTCGGTCATAACTCAGCCAATTTTCAAGCAATGGCCAACGTAAAACCATCATTGTGTACGTACAAATCTTCCCTCTTTCTAAAGCAGTTTTGGGCACAAGAATGAGCCTGAACTTAGTGGCATTTCCAGAAGCTGTTAAGGGCACACTACACATTTCTCGTTTGTAGCTCAACTTTCCCAGTTTTGACGCTATTTAAACTGGGATAAATGCGTTTTACAACAATAAAAAAACACGAATATTTAGCTGAATTTTATTACTTGTATATGCCCAATCTAGACCGAATATTACAATAATTGTAGTTATAAGTAGTACACGAAAAACCCAAAATAACTAAACTTCGTGGCCGTTTAAGTTCGCAACTTGCTGGAGGGATGGAATGGAGAGACACGGTTTAGCAAGTCGGCCCTTAAAAAGCCAGTTCGATTCGAAAAACGTCAAAATACAATATATTTTTTTTGAAAATCAACAATTTTTAAAGATTTGTATACTATAAGGCACTTTTTTTGGTAAATGTAATTGATGAACACTTGAAGACACTGGTTCGTGAATGCGAACGAGTGGGACAAAAGCATGTTTTCTGATTTCAGTCAGTCAAGACAGATTCGTTTGGTTTGGACGATGAGTTTGAGTGTTTGGATCATCGATGTTTGTTCCTTCTGTCGCACTTAGTAGACGGCAGCTGCAAAGGAAAACCACACAGTGAGATTGAAATTCAATTGTAATTGAACATGCATCGATGAACAGGTTCATTATCTACAAATTTCCGTACACTTGCTTAAGAACTAGTGCTTTGGTTAGTCAAGTCATAATGTGAAGCTCAAACAGCAAATTAGTCAAAGGTGTTGATTGCACTCTTTGGGAAAAATGACAAATTCTTACTGTAGATGAAGGAAAATGTCGCACGCAACGAAACACGATGACAAACTCAACTACAATTCTACGAAAACATACAATATTACCAATTGATCCAACGGAGAAATTTAGTTCGGAGGTTGAGAGTTTTTTTGGTTTGGAGTGGAATCAGCGGCAAAAAGGCAGCTTTGGGGCATGGTTATCAAATGCAAAAAGGTGCAGAATGAATTGTTCCTTCTTCAAATATTAGTGCATTCCCATTGCTTTAGCTATAAGCGGCAACGTAACGATTTTCTTACATTTATGCCAAAAAACAAACAACTTCTCCGGTTACATAACGATAAAATCAGACCAATCGCTTCAAATCCCTGGTACTCAAAAAACGTTTCCTTCACAAACCTTTTGGTATTTCTCAGCCAGAGATATTAGTGACCGTCGATTCTTCAAAAGGAATATGTTCCTCAAGGTGAAATCTTTTATGTCCCACTGATCTTTAGTCCTCTAATTTACCGTTAGATCGACCGGCAGTTTACCCTGTTCTGCCTCAAAATGAATTGGGGTTGTTTGAGTGTGTTCGTCTTTTATCTTGTTCCATCAAAAGTGGGTCAACTTTTCGACGTGGTTTCACCTTCAATGCGTCATTTGGCTCAAAACTCTGACTCTTTGGCGCAAACGCGCTTTTCATGTCGAGTATATCAGAACAATAATGGTCTTAAAAACCCACATACTATTCAGCTCATTACTTGCTTAGTTCGGCACTGAATCTTCAAACAGTGGAAGAAAGAGCGGGCAGTAGCCTTGATTGATTGGTGAAGATTGTAGGAATTTTGCAAAAAAACGCCGGGAACCCTAAATACGACAGGAAAATTTTGGCCTATTGAAACTTCACACGACCACAAAAGATGGTTAGTTTTCCAAAAATTTTGAATCTTCAAAAATTGGAAGATACAGCAAATTATTTCTTCTTTATACTCAATTTGTTAGTTTGCCCATATCTTGCAAAGCAGCCGATTAGAAGCGAGCATATCTAAGAAACTGAACTTATAGCCCGCAAATCGCCACTTCTGAAACTGGCTTAGTTTCTTCGCTTAGTTAGAAATGCCTGGAAATTATCTTCGGAATAAATTTCCAAAATTCCTGACTTCCCGCAAGATAATGAAGGCAATAGTAGACGTATTTAGGAACTCTTGGACTTTAACTCTCAGATACTCCTTAGGTGAGAACAAACTTAGTTCTTCGTAGTTTCTGATTCTTTAAAAGTTCAGGAAAACAGCAACTCATTGATTTCAATTGATCTCTCGAGTTCAGCTTTAAAATCGAATTTATCAAGTAAAGACGAATTGATCTGTAAAGCTATCAGGTTTCAAACTCTACACAGTCTACAGCTCAGAACTTGCTCAGATTTTCACTGATTTCCAATATTTCAACAGCAGAGAAAATAGTAGATTTTCGTCTTTGAAATAAGACCGATTTCCGAACTCTAGTCAGGTAACTCAGCCTTGACCGATTTTGTATCTTCAAAGGGGTAAACAAAAGGGCAGGGTTTTATCTTCCCGAAGCACACTTTAAACTGAAAACATTCCACTACAGAACAGAAATACAGAGTAAAACCGGGAAACATTGAACTTTAAAATCTGCGGCACTCTTCTGTTGACACTTTTTTAGTTGTACACTAATTTTATATCTCGAAATCGCGGAAAACAGACAAGTTTTTTTTATCTTTCCAAAGCATCTTCGAGGCCCCAAAAATCGCTAAAGGCGGAACGGAGATAAAAGCAGCAACATTTTCGGGAATCTTTCTACCTAATGTTCACAAAAGTCCTGTAGCTTAAAACTCGCTGATTTTTTGACGAATTTAACAAGCTTCTTGGCTTAATAAAACATCTTGAAGGTGGCAAAGTAACGTAGTTAAAAGTGGCTAAATATTTTGAAAAATTTCGACTAGAATCGCAATGGCTCTTTGACTTTGATTGACTTGACTTTTGACTTGAGATTTATCAAGCGAAAGAACAGGTTTATGCGCTTTAGAAATAATCTTCAAGACACCGAAATTCTCGATAGTAAGGGAGGAGAAAAGTTTAAAATTCGGTTAGTTTTCGCTTATTCGAAAAATCCATCAAGCGGAAGAAAGAGCGGCTTTTGCATATTTCGAAAGCAACTTTAAGATGCCCAAGTTCTGGAAACTAACGGATATAAAAGCAGCTAAATGTTCGGAAAACTTTCCACCTCATAATCCGAAAAACTATTTAGCCGCGGATTCCAAAAGCTCAAAAAGCGAAAGAAATATCAACTTTTTTCGCTCTTAAAAGGATCTTGAAAACCGCAAAATTCCCGAAAAACGGTTATAGAAGCAGCTAAATTTTGGAAAAACTTTTGACTTCATAATCCCCAAAAACCATTTAGCTTAAAACTCTCTTATTTTTTGGCGGATTTCAAACGTTAAAAAAAGGCGAAGAAAGAGAAGCTTTTCCAGCTCTAGGAAGTATTTTCAAGATGCGAAAGTTCTGGAAACTAACGGAGAAAAGCAGCTGAGCGTTCGGAAAACCATCGACTTTATTATCTTAAATGCTCCTTAGCTCAAAAACTCGCTTACCTTTTTGCGGATTGTAACTGCTGAAAACTATGAAGAATCAGCAGGTTTTCAACGTTAAAAAGGTAACAGTAGCACAGCCAAATATATCCTGAAAACTTTGACCTGTTTTCTGAAAACCTCAAACACTCTTCAAGTCAAAATTTTCACAATTTTTAACCGATTTGGAATCTTTGAAAATCGGATGAAAGAGCAGGTTTTCCTCTTTAGAATACGTCATTTGCATTCGGAAAATTTCGTAGGGTAACGGAGGTAGCAATAAAAATTTGTGAAAAAAATTGGCCGTGCAGAATCTAGAACATTCTTTGTCCCAGAACTTTCTTATTTTTGCGTCAATTTGAATTCGGAAAAAGCTACAGAAAGAGCATGTTCTTTGGTTCCGAAGGTAGTTATTAGATTTCCAATCGCCGGTAAAGCAACGAAGTTGTCCAAACGTTACAAATCTTTAAAAATGTCCTCAACTAGACGGCTTCTCATTTCCACTTGAAGAGCCAATTGAGAAAAAATATCGTTTTTCAGAAAAAAGCTCCCAATAAGCCGAAACTGCTTCCCCATACTGAAGCTTTAGACACTACAGCACTGTGTGTGTTCTCATCCAATAATCAAGGCGTCCAATGTGACATGCCAACTGTCAAATCATTGACATATTCTATCCGTCAAATGAGTGGCAGATGTCACATTGCAGACAGTTAGTGGCTCGTAGTAGGAACACAACAAAGTAAAACAACTGCATTGTTTAATGGTCGCCAAAAAAACTGTGCATAGTGTTGGAAAAATCGTTACGTCACAAGCTTATCACTACAGCAAAGCATCAGATCGGGTCATCGGCAAACGGCAGAAGCGTCGTCGACTTACCGAATGGCCTGATGGGATGCTTGTCCCACAAGAATGTCCTTTTGACAGGCGACAGGTAGGAGTCGCGCAAGTAGAAGGGGGACTTGCCCCAGGGGTTGTGAATTGAGGCTGGTCTGAGGGGCGAGTCCCACCAGAAGGGGTCGCGCGTAACGGCTGAGATGGGCAGGGAAGGAGAAGGGTTCAATAGTTCGTTCAAAATGCTCTTACTTGGTCTGCTCCAGAGAGGCTGGCCGGCGTAGTTGAAGGCCACCTCGGATGGACGTGGAGAGAACGGACCTGGCTGGAATTCGACTTCTGTTAGCCAGCAGGCGATTAAGGGGATCTGAGCAAACTTACCTTCACTGGAGTGGGGCTGAGCCTGCTGCCGGTCAGCGGCCACAAAGTGGGGTACAGCTTGTCCAGCTCGGCCAATCGGTCCAGATGTCCCAGCCAGGAGCGGTTGGGGTCGTACTTGTCGGTGGATGGTGGGGGCCTTTTGCTGTACACCAAGTAGAGTGGGTAGCGCGAGAATGGGTAAGTGGTGTGGAAGATGCTGCTGGGCCACTGGGACGGCTCACGACCTTTGACGCGGTCGATGTGGTCTCTCCATGCACCGTCAGCGTCAAGAGCTCTGGGCTTGGTTACGTGGTAGGCTAAACAAGCAGGAAAATATACCTTTCAGAGAAAGTTTCGCCCAAATCTAACTACACTATTAGAATTTTTAATCCCAAAATTTTTTTCCGAGAACAAGTCAAAGCACATTGGGGATGATCGAGGTTGGGCTGGGTCTTGTCGGACCAAGACCTTGCTCTGCAAGTTCAAGAGTGTTTAACTCTGTCCTGGTAGCTCTGGAATATGGTGAGAAAACTGAACCGTTTTAAACACACATACTAACGACTGACTTTCAGCGAAAAAATTAACAATAAATAGAAGCAGGAACCAATGCTTTGGACAAGTGGGACGGAAATAAAGCAGTGGTTAACATATTTCAGATCTAATTGGCTCCGGATGTTTTCCTTCTCCTCTAGTCTACCTAAATCGGGAGGCCGTTGGTCCTAATGTTTATTAACTTTTCGTTTTTATTGGTTTTTGTCAGCTTTTAATTTTTTTATTATTGCTATTTTTATTGAACTAGTTTTATTTTATTTTACGCCTGATTTTAATGTAATTGCCCCAAAATCGCCGATTTTTCAAACAAAGCAATTACAAATTTTGCATACATTGCACGCAAAATTGAAGATTTTATTGAAACTATTGGTATATAACCGACGAAATATCGCTTATAGGCCTGTGAGACGAAGACCTGCCGCACGGAAAGTTTGGCGGTTGCGCCTACTATGGAGCTCTAGTTGGGCGGCCGTCGATTTTTTGTTGCCAATTTCAAGTATAATGTTCAACTCTTTTATTACTGGAAATATTGAAAAAATATTAGTAAGTTTTCCATTGACAATAATTTCTTGATATTTGCTCAACTAAAAGAAATGGCGAAATATTATTATTTAAATAAATCTTTAAAATTTCTAAATTCTTGCAAGATAACGAAGTTATTTGAGTAATTTTGGATTTTCACTCTCCGAGTCCTTTGAGCTCAGAAGTGGCTTAGTTCTTCACCGCTTTTCATTGTTCAAAAAGTCTAAAGAGGAGCAGGTTTAATCTTTTAAATTCAAAAGTCTAGCGCGTTAATTCTTTCAACGTTTACACTCTACACACTCCAGTTCATTCTACTCACTAGTTCAGAACTTGCTCAGCTTTTCACCGATTTTCAATATTCCAAATTTGGAAGAAACAGCGAATTTTTGTCTTTCAAACGAGGATTTCCGTTTTCCAAAATTTGGTCAAGTAAGTGAGTCAGAGACAAATACGTCATAGAAACTTTTGTGACATGCTGTTCAGACAAGAAATTTTTCAGTAGTTCACCGATTTTGAGTTTTCAAAAAGTTGAAGAAAGAGGAATATTTTCTTTGCCCAATGCAAATTTTAGACTGCAAAATTTCTGTTATTGACCGGAAGTAGACGCAAATATACACCCGGAAAATTTTGGACTTTAAATCCTACAGCACTTTTCAGCTGAAAACCATCTTAGTTTTACACCGACCTCGAATCTTCAAACCTTGAAAGAAAAAGCACTTTTTTGTTATTCCAGAACACCTGCAAATCATCAAAATTCTCGAAAAATAAAGTAATCAAAGTGGCTAAATCTTCGAAAACTATTTAGCTTAAAACTCGCTTATTTTTCGCGGATTCCAAAAGTTTAAACAGCGAAATAAAGATTTGCTTTTTTCGCTCTTGAAAGGATCTTCAGAACAGCAATATTCCCGAAAAACGGTTATAGAAGCAGCTAAATTTTCGAGAAACTTTTGACCTCAAAATTCCACAAAGCTTTTTATCTTAAAATTCTCTTATTTTTTTGCGAATTTCAAACGTTTAAAAGGCCGAAGAAAAATACGCTTTTTCCAGCTTCAGGAAGCATTTTCCAGATGCCAAACTAACGCTTTTTCACCTAAAAAACTGTTGAAAAACATGAATAAACCGCAGGTTTTTCGCTGTTGAAAGAATGACTGAATTCCAGATATTCCGCAAAGGTAGGGAAGTCGAACAATCAAAAGGATTTTTTTAACTTTAGTTTGCAAAACCTCAAGCACTCTTCAGGTCAAAACATTCACAGTTTCCTATCGATTCGAAAATTTTCAAAAGCGAGAAAAAGCCTGATTTCTTATCGTTAGAATACACTATTTGGATTCTAGTAGTTTCGTAAGGTAACGGAGATAGGAGAAAATATTTGCAGAAAAATTCCAGTGTAAAATCCCAAACATTCTCTAGCTCAGAACTTTCCCACTTTTTCATCAACTTTAATTCTGCAAAAATATGTACAACGAACAGTTTCTTCGCTTTCAAATACATGTACATTAGAATTAGCCTCATTTCAGGAAGTTTTTCAAAAATGTAAATACATTTTCAATAAATAATCATTTGTAGAGCAGAAGTCACATCAGCAGAAAAATATCCAGGGGCGTCTCAAAAAGTTCCAAGGTAATCTTGTGTTTATTTTTACATTTTGCCCACCCTGTACAGAGTGGTCCATTGAAATTAGTGCCTTTTGTAGTCGAAAGTCCATCATCGATTTTAAGTCAACAGTTAAAAAACGCAAAACCTTTTTCGGCTTTTTATTGCTCGTTAACAATCATTGCAGAAAACTTGAGCTGATGCTGGCTGGAAATACGAAACTCATGAAACAAAGCGCTAAAAACGCTGGAATTATTTATTTCAAAAACCTTTGAATCAAGGAAACCTCAAAGCTAATAAATAGCAAACCACACACAATACAATTAACAGTTAAGTAGAATAAAAAAAATAGAAAAGAACCTGATTAGGAGAAGTTGAAATAAATATCTGGGGCATGCATAACAAGTTATGAAATAAATGAAATAAACAAGGCCGGGAATGAATTTCTAAAAATACCGAGAGTTGTGGATTTTCGATGGCACAACCTACAATATAGAGGCAAAATTATATTTACTTCACCTTGGACACGAATCTGTGAGATAGATCCGGCGGTATTTGCACGATTTCTATAAGTTCAAGTCTCGAGAAATTTCATGCCGGGCGTTAATTGAGCTCCAAACGGGAAAGGGCTTGAGAAATAAGCATTCAAAGGGTTAAACGCTGTAAGCCAAGGTCCTAGACAATGGGTTTGAAAAATTCAAAAAAAAATCGAAAATTCCAAAAATATCCAGCAAAATCGCTTACCCATAGTTATTTTTATCACCTAGCCACCGCAAGACTGCGACTGAGCCTCACCAACTACCTCGACTTTACGAAAACCGAAAAACGATTGGCTCCCACCTCAGCTACTATTTTGCTGACGTCATAGTCTATGCTCATATTTTATTTTAAAAATCTTTTTTCGGTCCCCCGACATTGTTAGGTAATCGTCGTATTGTCATTGGCTGATTAATTGGATTTGAATGCGATTTGGCCGCTGCTTGGTCAAGAATCATCATCATCAACAACATCATCAGCTGCAATTAGTCGAAATCAATTGGCCAATAATCGAGGCGATTGCGAAGTTTTTCCAAGCAGAGCATGAGATAAATTTTCGATATTTTGATCACAAATGGACTTTGTGAGAGTCCATGAATGGACTTTTTGGGAGGCAAATGCGTGCAACCTGAGCCCACCGCACTTATGAAGCAACCAAATTTGTGTGGCTGTTTGGAGCAGTTTTGGCACTGGAACGTGTTAGTGGATTGGTGAAAAATAATAATTGCAACTGGCCTAGTGGCTTCGGATTCAAAAAGTCTAAAACAGCCCTCAAACTGGCAACTTTGAAAAATGAAAAGAATAGCATAAAAAAGTTTGCCTAAAAAGGCCCATTTCAGGCGATATTTTCGGGTATTTTTGCACATTTGCAGCCAGGATGTGGAATTTTGTAAATCTAGAAGAATGGGATGGTTTCTGGCTTTAAAACTTCAACTAGCCGCTTTTGGTTACCAGAAATGCCTGAATTTCTGACTGGATGAATTTGAACCCCATCCCAGTCTCTAGCAAAAAACGAGCTTAGTTTTCAACCGATTTCAACCTTTTAAACCGTAGTAAAAAGTAGAGACTTTGGTCTTTTAAACACCTTTTAAACATGGAGAAACTTCGCCAAACCCACGGAGCTATAGGCGGAATGACCTGTGAAAGTTTGCGCTTTCAAAACGCAAATGCCCTGCTTAGCGCAAAACGCTCCTGCCTTTACGTCGATTTTTAATCTTTTCAAAGCTGAAGAAACAACAGGTTTTTGTCTTTCAAACACATTGAAATTTGACGGAGTTTCAGGGGCTTTGGAAAATTTTGCTTTAACCGAGCTTTGTTTTTCGCGCAATTTAAGTCTACCAAAGAGAGAATTGAAGGTTTTCGTCGGAGAATTGAAGACCCATAAAAGACGGTGTCTCAAACTAATCCTTAAAATGCTAGAAATTCGCTAAACCGAAGCCTGCCTGAAGCTAAGTTAGCTTCAACCAGGTAGAGGTAAAATTATAAAATTTCACTCAGCTCAGAAGGTGCTCAAGTTTTGTCACTTAGAATTAGGAATTGTCTTTCTAATGCAGTATCAAATGGTCTGAATGTCTCTAGATAACAAAAATAATCGACCAACAGGCAGATAAATATATTGGAGAAACTTGAAATTTTAAGCTCTAAATACTCATGGAATGTTCAAAAGTCCCACAATTTAAACATTTTCAAAAAGCACTGAAGATCAGGAGGATGTTTGCCTTTCAATTGACGTTTCAAGAAATCGGAAAGTCCAAGATTTAGGAAAAATGATCACGCATCTGCAGTTGCCTCAAAACTCGATTAATATCGAGCTCAAGGAGCTCGAAGTAATTAGTTTTCTTATTGGTGCGGATTTTGTCCGCCAAATAAATTCATTTTAACATTTCAAAAATCCTACCGATAAACCCAGCTTGATGCAACTACACATTCGGAAAAAGGGCCGATTTTAAGTTTTCCTGCAACTTTGAAATTTAAAAAAGTTGAAAAAAAAGAGCAGGTTTTTATCTTCAATTTTCAGGTTTAAGACTGGAAAATTCGTTTGAATTAACAGAGGTAGCAGCAAATATATGTACGGGAAGCTAAAACTTCACAGGACTTCCAATCCCGAAAATTTATTAGCTCAGAACTTGCTCAGTTTTTTATGGGCTTGCATATTCAAAAAGAGGAAGACATTGCAGGCTTTTGTCTTCACAATTCAGCTTTGGGATTTCGAAAATATTGAAAACTGACTGAGGGAGCAAAGTGTATATGCGAGAAGCCACATTTTTGGGCCCTTACACTCTTTACCGCAGAACTCGTTTAGTTTTCTACTGATTTAGATTCTTCGAAATGTGTACAAAAGAGCAGGATTTTATTTTCACATTTCAGCTTTCGAAAATCTCGGAATGGGACTGAGGCTGCACAAAGTTGCATTCGGGGATTTTGAATTTTCCAAAAGTGGAAAAAGAAGCAAGTCTTTCTCTTCAAAACCCACCTTCAGAATTTTAAAAATCTCCAAAACTTACAGAGAAAATAGAACATTTAGATCCGGTACAGCAAGATTTGTGGGGACTTTAAAGCCACATACACTCATTAGCTCAGAACTCGCTTAGTTTTCCCGCACCGATTTCAATTTCTTCAAAAATCCTCTTTCAGACTTCCGAAATTTTGGAAACTGATAGAAGCTGCATAAAATTTGTATCCGGGAAACTAAAACTCTCACGGACTTTAAACCTCCAAACACTTATTAGCTCAGAACTTGCATAGTTTTCAAGCAATTTGGAATATTCCAAAAGTGGAAAGATAAGCAGGTTTTTCTCTTCAAAATGTTTCCAGGATTTAGAAAATCTCCGAAACTTACAGAGATAACAAAATATTTGTACCCGAGAAACCAACCGTTGAGGAGACTTTAAAGCCGCAAACACTCATTAACACAGAACTCGTCTCGTTTTTGTAAGAATTTTAAAATTTCTAAAGGGGAACTAAATCTAAAGGGGAAGTTGATCTTCAAAATTCAGTTTTCAGATAGAAAAAGTTAGGAAACTGTCAGAGAGAGCAACAAATTTATATCCGGGAAACAAAAACTTACTGCGCCCAAACATTTTTCAGATCAAAACTTGCTTGGTGTTTTATCGATTTCGATTCTTCAAAAAATGCAAGAAATGACATGTCTTTTCTTCATAATTCAGCTGTAGAATTTGGAAAATCTCCAAAATTTCATAGGTATAACAAAAAATGTTTATCTGGGAAACCAAAACTTTTATCCAAAAACTCGTTCGGTCAGACCTTGTTCCGTTTTCTACAGATTGTCAATATTTGAAAAGACGAAGAAAGAGTACATTTTTCGTCTTCAGAATTCAAGTTTAAGATTTGAAAATGAGCTGAAACTGATAGCGACAGCCGAACATTTACATCCACGAAGCTAAAATACACAAATTTTGAACAATCGTTAGCTCAGAACTTGCTTAATTTTCTTCCAATTGTAAACCTTCAAAAAGTGGAAGAAATAGTAATATTTTGAACTCAAATTTCAACTTTGAGAGTTAAAAGCCTTGAAAACTGACAGAGTTTGGGAAAAATGTATTCACGGAACTAAAACATGAAGGCCCCAAACTCTCTTCAGCGGTGTACGGATTTTGAATCTTCAGGCACTGGAAGATAAGGAACGTTCTCATCTTCCGAATTTATATCTAAAAATTCAAAAATCCATCTGCAATCGGAGATCGAAGTAAATATAAATTTCACTTTGAAACTTCAAGCCCTCTTTAGCTGAGAACTCGCTTGTTTTTTTTACAGATTTGAACTCTCGGGAAGTAGGGGAAAGAGTAGGGTTTCCTATTCAAATTTCAGGTTTGGGAGTCAAAAAACCTCAAAAACTGACATGTTTCGCCACAAACGTATATCGGGAAAGAAAAATTTGCGGACCTCAAAGACTCTTCAGCTCACAACTTGTTCAGTTGTCTACGGATGTTTAATATTCAACCAGTGGAAAAACAAAGAAGATTCTTACCTTCCAAATGCATATTTAAGAATTTAAAAGTTCCTTTACATAAGGCAGATGAAGGCAACAATACATCTGGGATATTTATGAGTTTGAAACATCAAGCACTCTTTAGCTCAGAACTCGCGTAGATTTCTAAGAATTTTAAATATTCAAAAAGGGCCAGAAAGAGCAGGTTTTTGTATTAACAAATTTGGCTTTGGGATTTTAAAAAGCGCGGAACTAATAGAGATCGAAAAAAAATATATGCGAAAAACTAAAACTCGCGGGCCCCATCACTCTTTAGCCCACAATTTCCTCAGTTATTACGCATCATAAATCTTCAGACAGTGGAAGAAACAGAATATTTTTATCTTTCAAATGCATGTTTAAGAATCCAAAAATCAGGATAACGAAAATGGACACGAATATACATCTGGACTTTGTAACTTCAAGCTTTCTTTAGCTCAGAACTTGTTTGGTTTTTTGCGGATTTTTAACTTTCAAAAAGAGGAAGAAAGAGTTGCAATTCGGCTTTATATTTCAAATGTGAGGGTTAAAAAAGCTTCAAAACTGAAAGATATTGCGATAAATTAATATTTGCGAAACGAGATCTTGCGCACTCCAAACCCTCTTCAGCTCACAACTTGTTCTGTTGTTTACAGACTTTCAATCATCAAGACGCAGAAGAAAAACAAGGTTTTTATCTTCCGAATTCATATTTGAGCAATTAACAATTCCTTTGAATAACTGAGATGGAGGAATAACATATTGCTATTTTCTTGCTTTCTCATTCATAGAGCTCAGAACTCGTCTAGTTTTCTGCGAATTTTCAATCTTCACAAAGTGAAAGAAAGAGAAGTTTTTTCTTCACAATTTGGTTTAGAGATTTCAAAAAATGGCAAAAAAATATATGCGGGAAGTAAAATTTGCGGGCCCCAAACGCTCTACCGCCCATAATCTTTCGAGTTCTTTACGTGTTTTGTATATTTAAACAGTGGAAGAAAAATAATATTTCAATCCTTCAAATGCATGTTTCAGAATCTAAAAATATCTCAAGATAACGGAGATGAAGGCGAATTTGGGCTACTTTCGCTCCTTAAGCACTCTTCAGAGCGGAACTCGCTAAGTTTTTCACCGATTTTGCATATTGAAAAAGCAAAAGATTCGGCAAGTTTAAACCTTTCCTAGTCAGACCTGGAAAAACCCCCAAAGTAAGGAAAACAGACGCAAATATATGGACGGAAAACTTTCGATTTGAAAACTCAAACTTATGGGCAAGACGAGCTCAGCTTTCCACTAACATCAAGTTAAATGCCTCTAAATGACCATAAAATATAACAGGACACCACTAATAAAGCTTGTCAAACTTTAAAAATACTAAAAACCACAGAGTTTTCAAGACTTTTCACTATTTCTGCTCTTCACTGGATCCTTTGACTTACACGTTCATTAATTTATAAACAGAGTGATTGAAAATATCTTCCATTCTAGCTGTGTGGGCAAATCGCATGTTCTTTTAGAAGCAAACCCTAAAAACAGTTGGCATATGCAGAAACACACTGTATGGACTCACGATCCAGTGGGCGTTTCATGTAATTTCTTTGGACTTCAAAACATTCAACCAAATACGTTTGTTTCTATTTCTTTCCTGATTCTAAGCTAGAGTGAATAAGTACAATTTTTATATGTCAAAGACTTAGGATGCTTTCACTGTATGTTATTATGCCATAATTGGCCCAGGCTAAGATACCGAGTGATTTAAAAAAATTAAACTTTTGCCTCAATAATTGAAAGTTGCTGAAATGTAGGTGAACCCCAACCAGGAGTGGCTTTGGTTGAGAAACATAAAATGAAGAAAATGAGTGAGATGAACGGTAATTTACAATGATACTGCGCCTTGACTGCAAAAGCCATACATAGACATGCGGGATTGGATTTTTATTGGAAAGCTCTCCAACTTACCTCTCAACCTCCACTGGCCTGGAACGGAAAAATCCACAGTGCTGAAAAAAGGGATGCAACAGAAAACAATTGCGAATGTCTGTTTGCATCGCTTTTGATAGCACGGGCAAAAAGGGAGGAACTTGTCGAAAAAAAGTGTGGATCGCCATGGCAAATGCTGGAGCGGCAGGTGCTGCTTGTTAAGAAGCCACGTTAGTCGATTTGTGAATGGAGCCTACTTTTACACAGTTGTCAATTTGGAAAAAATCTGTGATTAACATGAGAAAAGTGGACTTCATGAAGACTCGGTCAGCTCAAGCGTTTGCGGGGCGTGCACAGTACCACCGATTAGCTTTAAAAAACTTTATTGAAGTTTGAGGCTGTACAATCATCATCATTATCAAATATATTATAACGGATTACATACAGTCGTAATTACATCTCTAAGTACAATATACATATAAACATATAACACATTTAGATGGTACTCTAGCGAACGACACAAGCGAAAAAACATTGACAGTGAAATTGTTCCTGTTTAAAGGCACTGTGATGATGGTTGGATGGTAGTTTACCACTGTTCAAGGGGGCGGTGTTTGATTGCATGAAAGAACGACATTTTTCGCAGGATCGGTTTGACGAAACGTCGCTATACCGCTGAAAATTCCATTCGTGGTTAATAGTCTTTTAAAGGTGAAATTGGAAAGAAAAACCCTGTTGCAAAATGCCGCCCGTTTCACCACAGAACAATTAGCCCCCCGAGTCAGATCCGCTTAGCGCCTGTAAGATGTGGACTTACCAGGCCTGTATCTGTCCAAAGATCCGTAGTTGTGTGGGAAAATGGCCCTGGGCGAGTATCCGTAGGTATCACGATGGAGGGGATCGTAACGATAGCCGGGCACGTGGATGCGCTCAGCAGCCGCACTTGGATCATCGTAGATCGACTTTCCATAGGGCCAACCGGCCGAAAGCTCTGGAAGATCGCTCAGAGGCCGGAAAATGCCTCTCGGTCTGGCTGAGTATGAGTCGGTTGCCCTCAAATCGTCGGATCCTGCAATCGAAATGAACCAGCCGTTTAATTTCTCGTCCTTCGTGGCCTCCGTCCGCTCTCACCTTTAAGGGACCGTACAAAGGACTGCCAGAATCTGGCCTTCTTTGTAGGGGACTCGTTGAGACTGATCATTTCTAGATGGTCTTTGAAAGACATTGTGTCGTTTTGTGTTCGGCTACTTGGTTTACTTGGTCGTTCGTCTGGAACATAAAAAAAAAACTTTGAAACGACTTCAAAGCGTCTACGAAACGACTTCGAGTTACATCAGCGTGCTTTTCAGCTAATTACCGCTATGTAGACCCCAACTAAAATAATGGCGATCGCATAGATCAGCAGCGTCCAAATCTCGCTCGATCCCATAGCTTTAGGTCTGGATAATCGGCCGGCCAATGCGGACTATTTTGGTCGCAACTCGCTGCGGATCGGTTGCTCGATGGCACGTCGTGCGCGCACTTTTTTTGTCTATTTTTAAAATTGCGCAGTTTTTTTTCCTCTCCATTCACATGGAGATTCATCCATCGTTTGCGTAAACTTCCCGGTAAAAATAGCACCCTGGATGCGAAGGTCAGACTGTTAACTCCAATTTGTTGTTAATGGAGTTAAGGATGATTCAACTATTTTGTTTTCTGGGTGGAGTTTTTTTTGGGCAATGGCACGTTTTTGAGTCAGGATCGGCCGATTTGGATGCCAGTAGTATGACGGACCCCAGAGGAATGCAATTGAATGTCTATTTTGGTCGCCGTGGGCTTTTTCTGTGTCATCGTAATGTTTTGTAAACATCGCTGGGATGTAAATGGACACTAGCGAGCTTCATTTGTTCACTTGGCAGGCCGTTGGGCGCATTTCCACCGTGTAAACATAGTCAGTAGCCATAGAGTTTCATGGGCGAGTGGGGGAGGATCGAGTTAAATCGCACGAGTTATTCTCGATATCTCGAGTTGCCTTTGAAATACCATGGGATTTCAGTAGTTTTTGAAGAATAATTCTATTCGATTCGAAGGCGACCGAGAGACAAATGCAAGGAAGACTCGATGCGAGACATGAATCCGGGCGAAATAATTCAAATGAAAAATAAGAGAGAAGTCGAGCAGATGTTGAGTGCTACTGCTCTTAAACATTTAAGTCGTTTTTTCTTCTATTCAATCAGTTGCGAAACACACCAGTGGCTGCGAAAACACGAAAATTGATTCAAAAAATTTACTCTTTTATTGCACGCCAGATGCTTCTCTTTTTCTACACAAGCAAATTTCTGTATACTTCTTGCTTCCGCCATGCAAGCAGTTAAAATAAGAGAGCTTTTTTTGGTAGAAAATTTTGTGCTCAAGCAGAGACTGGCGAATCGACTGACAAGAGAGAGAAAAACTGGCGTCAAACAAAAATTTGCTGATGTAAAAGAGAGATGAACAGGAGATAATTGTAGGCGCAAAGCAATTCAAATGAAACTCACAGTTAACCAGGAGTTTACTGAAAATGAATTTAAAATTTTCAGTTATTTTTGTGTGAAAAATCTCATATGCAAACCTCTCCTGTTGGAGCTGCTTGTATGGCGGATGAAATAAGAGAGCAGTTTTGTAGAAAAATAATTAAATTTTCGTGATTTAAGAGACACTGACCGCTCAACTCATCGAAAAAAACTCAACAGAAAGAAAAAGTGGCATTAAATAAAATTTTGCTGATCTAAAAGAGAGATGCAATAGGAGATAATTGTTGGCGCAAAGCAATTCAAATTAAAGAGAATCTCAAAGTTAAGCATGCTTTTACTGATAATGAATTTCATATTTTCACTTATTTTTGGGTACAAATTTCGTATTCAACCCTCTCATATTTTATCTGCTTGTATGATGCCAATAAAATCAGAGAGACTGTATGCAAAAAATAATTCAATTTTCGTGATTCAAAAGTAACTGGCGGCTCAACTTACCAGAGAAAAAAGTGATATCAAACGAAATTTTGTTTCTGTAAAAGAGAGATACAATAGGAGTAAATTGTGGACCCAAAAAAACTCAAATTAATACTTAATAACTCAAACGCAAATTTTTGCGTGCGAACCTCATATTCCAGCCTCTCTTATTTTATATGCTTGTATCGCAGATGAAAGAAGAGAGATTTTATGCAAAAACTGACGACAGAGAAAAAAGTGGCCTTAATCGAAATTCTGCATATGTAAAATGGAGATGCAATAGAAGAGAATTGTCGACGATAAAAAATTCGGATTAAAATCGTAATCGAACTAAAGCAGAAGTTGACAGTGAATTTAAAATTTTCAATTAATTTTGTGCGCACATCTCGCATTGAAGCCTCTTTTATTTTATCTCCTTGTATGGCAGATGAAATAGGAGAGATTTTATGCAAAAAATAAATCAATTTTTGTCATTCAAGAGAAACTGGCGGCTCAACTGACGATAGCGAAAAAAGTTTTCTTAAACGAAAATTTGCTTATGTAAAAGATAGATGCAATAAGAGAGAATTGTCGGTGCTAAACAATTCAGATTAAAGTCATAATCGAAGTTAAGCAGAAGTTTACTGATAGTGAATTTTAAATTTTCAATTATTTTAATGCGCAAATGTCGTATTCAAGCCTCTCTTATTTTATCTACTTGTATCACAGATGAAATAAGAGAGATTTGATGCAAAAATAATTCAATTTTCGCAATTCAAGAGAAACTGGTGGCTCAACTGACGACAGAGAAAAAAGTGGCCTTAAACGAAATTTTGCTTATGTGAAAGAGAGGAGAGATGCAATAGGAGAGAATTGCAGGCGCTAAACAATTCGGGTTAAAGTCATAATCGAATTCAAGCAGAAGTTTACTGATAGTGAATTTCAAATTTTCAATTAATTTGTGCGAAAATCTCGTGTTCAAGACCCTCCTATTTTATCTTATTGAATGGCAGATGAATTAAAAGATATTTTTTGCAAGTAAATATTTCAATGTTCGTACTGGCGGACTCAGCTGACAAGAGAGAGGAAAAGTCACGTCAAACGGAAATTTGCTGATGTAAAAGAAAGATGCACTAGGAGACAATTGTCGGGCGCTATGCAGTTGAGTCGTCAGCCTCTGCTCAAATACAAAAATCGAATAATTTTCTTGTAAAACATCTGTCTTATTTCATCTGCTATACAAGAGAGATTTTCTGCAAGGAAATTATTAGATTTTCGTGATTTAGCAGAGACTGGTGAGACTCGACTGGTAAGAGAGAGAGAAAAAGCGGCTTGAAATAGAATTTTTCAGATGGAAAAGAGAGATTGCAATACGAAAGAATTGTCGGCGCGTAAAATTCGAATTACTGGGAAAACCGAAATCAATCAGGAGTTTACTGAAAGTAAGTTTCAAATTCTCATTTCTCTCATTTTTAAATCTCTCTTTTCGGGTCTGTTTGTTTAGCAAATGAAATAAGAGATAATTGGCGGCTCAGCTGATGAAAGGGAAAAAAAGTGATGTCAAACGGATATTTGCTGATGCAAAAGAGAGAGGCACTAGAAGAGAATTGTCGGCGCAAAACAATTTGCATTAAAGACAAGACCGATTTTCAAAATTGGATGCACCTCTTCTCCTTTCAGTTGAGGGGCCAGTCACTGTTAAAACGCCAAAATCCAATTATTTCCCAGTAAAACATCTTTCTTATTTAAACTGCCAAATAAGAGAGATATTTTGGGAAAAAGTAGTTCGGTTTTCGTGATTTGGGAGATACTGGCGTCTCGTCAATTGAAACGCCAGTTCAAAGGAGAAAAGGAGCCACCAAACACATAAATTTGCTGAGATAAAAAGAGAGATGACAATTAGAGAGAATTTTGCAAATAAATAATTGGGCTTTCTGGGTTTCAACAGAAACTGGCGACTTAATTGACGAGAAAAAGGGCGTAAAAAGGAAAATTTGCTGATGTATAAGAAAGATGCAGTAGAAGAGAATTGTCTGCACAAACTAAATCTGCAAGCATGGTAGGCGCAATAAGAGAAATTTTATGCGAAGAAATAGGCGTCAACTAGGAGGTTGCAGGTGAAACACGAGACATTTGTGGTGCAATTTAAGTCGAATAAAAACCATTCGAATGAAAGTATTGTTTTTGCAGAAAATAATTCGATTTTTTTCACCAGTGAGAGTCATCCAGATGCGATCTATTGAGGTGTTTGCTATTGCATTCTCATCTCAGTATGACTCTCTGAAATCCTCAATTATTCGATTAGGTAACGCGAAACATTGGAAATATCTCGATTATCTTCATTACTTATGCGGTGTTTGGGCTGTGTAAATTAACGGACTGAAAACAGGGGCAAACAAATCGTAAAACGTTCAGCGCGGTCGAGTTTAAACAAAACTAAGTTTAGATTCGCGAATTTGGGGAAAGCAGCGCGAAAATCAGCCGAAGGAATTTCAATTTAAAACAAACCACTGTGACGTTAGTCGGTGTGGAGGCCGCGCTAATTTGGTGCCCGGCTATTTTTAACGTCGATTTTCGGCTTTTGGCATGCCATTTCGATAATTGGGACCTAAATCCTGCTGCTCCTGAAACCAGGCCCTGCCTCGATATTCCGGTGTTTTATTGTCCTTTCCAGCCATCAGTGAAAGGGAAAATTTGCACCAATTGCTGGCGTTAATCCCAGCCAAAGACCATGGGGCGGGTTGCCAAAATTGACGAAATCCAGCGCGCAAACCAACGTATAAAATTTCGCTAACATAATAAATTTACATAACAGACACTCGAAGCGGACTATTTTTGTATTAGAGTCACTCAGACCGTGGCCAGATCGAAAATAGACACCAATATCCATATATCAGCTCGAAAAATGAAGTTATGAAGTTGCGAGTGGTCACTGTCGCGTATTTTTGCGCTTTTGGACTTGAAACGCATTTTTTTTGGAAATTGAGCAACATGATGCTGAAATAAAGCCTTTGGGGAGATAAACTATGAAAGGCTGATTACTCAACAGCAGCTGGAAAGGACACTTAAAAATAGACCAATGGACCCATTACATAAGGGCCTTTTAGGATCGAATCCGGAGTAAAAAGCCGATTAACTGGCTGAAGAAGCTGTCCAGCTAGCGCCTTTTTGGCCGAACGAACCGCTGGCAAAAACGCGCAGTTTCAGCCCAGTTTGTTTTGCTGGGTCAATTAGCACATACTTACGGTACCACTTGGGAACCCAACAGAGAAACTCGCGGATATTCTGATGAGGTTTCAACACTTTTGTTTGGTACTAACCTACTAAGTTGGCGGTATAGCGAGTCGAGATCTGCGATTGCTGTTCGGAACTGACTGCGTCGCGACGCTCCGCGTCGTTTTGGGCGGCTTGAGAGGCGTCGGTGACGTCGCAATGAGGGGGCGTCCTCCCATGCTCCTCACTTTTGGTTGTAAATTTAGTGGACGTTTGCCAGTCCCTTATTTG